GCAGATCATCTGGATGGGGCAGGTGGTGCTGAATGCGTGCCCAAGGCCGCTGCCATTCCGATAGGGTTACCCTTAAATAGAAGGTGTGGAATCTTGACTATCCACCTGGAAAATAAACACATTAGAAAAGTGCTCAGGGCAAGTGCCCCTGCCTCACAGTTAATTGTTTAAAGGCAGAATTCAGGATGACAAGGCACAAGGGCACGCAGAAGGCAATAATGTTTATTAGGCCTGACAGTTTAAAGCACCAGGAAACAGTGTAGCTATCAGAAACAACACAAAACGTCGAGCTTTCTTTCCTTTAAGCATGCTTCTAGGGGCCGGGAGTGTAGCTCAGTAGTAGAGCACTTGCCTAGCATATATGAGGCCCTGGTTCTATGGCCAGCACCATGAAAACATGTCAACAACAACAGCAAAAGAAAAATCTGTTGTCTGTCTAGTGTTGAGATCCACTCTTGTTCAGACAGATAAGTCGGGGCACTGTACCTATGTATTGATACTCCGTAAAATGAGAGTCTATTCTCTCATGGGGGGGGGGGCGTCATAGCAGTCACAACAAGGAGCTGGGTCTGTGGAACAATTTCCTCAGGAGCTACACTCATTTTGGTCGGACTTGAACTGTCTTTTGTTTGCTTTCCTGGCGTGGGTTTCACCTGATTTCTCTCTCTGCTTTCATCGCTATGTGACTGTGGGTCCTCGGATTTCCCGTGGAACTCTTGCTGACATCCTCATGTAGGGGAGTTAGAGAACGTTATTTAAACAATTAGGATCATATTTCCTTTGAAATAGGATTCCCAGTTTGGCTCTACAGCTGTAATTTGCTGTAATTTTAATTAGTCCTTTTGTTTTTTTATACAGCTCTATTTATCTTTTCTTCATTTTTCTTATTTAAAGAGAACCGGCTCCATTGTCTCCTTTTACTAAAGACAGCATTAAAGCCACGCTCTTCTTGGAAAAAGTAACTATAGAGATAATTTTGTATAATCCCATGAAGTTTGATGTACATAGTCCATGAAATAACTGTTATACTTTTAGTGCTTTGTCTTCCGGAATATTTATGTATGTATATGTACCCCATATAAAATACACAATGCACAGCAGTCCTGTGATGGTGTGCCCCATATTGCTCAATGCTTATAATGCCCCATAGGCTCAGATATTTGACCCCCATGAGCGGCGCTGTTTGGGGATGTTATGGAATCTTTAGGAGGTGCAGCTTTGCGGAAGAGCATACGTCAGTGGGGGTGGGCTTTCAGAGTTCATAGCCTTGCCTCACTTCCAGTTCACTGTCTGTGTTGCATTCGTGGTTGACGATACAGTCTTCAACCTCTTCCTGCTCTTTCTACCTCCCCGCTGACCATTATGGACTTTCACTTTGGAAATGTAAGCCCAAAGAAATTCTTTGTTTTTTTAATTGCCTTTGATCATGGTATTTTTTTTTTTAACCAAAATAATGGAACAGTAACTAACATATTCTACTCCTTTGTTAAAAATCTTTTTATGTTATAAAGTGCACCCCAAATGCCAATTTTAATGCCAGAAAGACATTTCACCATGAGAATATCCTGCAGTTTATGCCACCCCATGCTGGTGGGTGTCTAGTGTGCTTTGGAGTTTTTTTTTGAAACAATGGTAAAACATCTTGTGGCTCAATTTTTTACGTTATTCAATTCCTTCCTTCCTTCCTCCCTCCCTCCCTCTCTCTCTTTTTTTCTTCCTTTCTTTCTTGGTGTTGCAATGAGCATAGTGAAAAAAAAATGTCTTTAGACATGTAAAATTAGCTTAGTCAGGATCCTCACTACACCCAAGGCTGCATGTTGATAGATTCACAACATGCCCCCATGGTTGGGCATGTCTGGCGGACCTAGACACTTCCACCTAGCCAGTTCCAGGTCAAAATAGCTGTTTCCGGGTCAAGGCGTCGTGTGACCAGGACCCTGTGGCTTTGCATGGTTTACGTAAGAGCGCACAATGCAACCATGTGATCTACATGCATGCATGGAGTAGCCACATGGACCTGTGTATGCGTGCGCCACCCAGCCTTTATAAGCCGGCGCCATATTCCTGGCCTTCTTCTTCTTCTTCTTCTCCACACAAATGTCTCTTCCGCAGGCCTGAGCACTTGTCTGTCTCTCTTATCGTAATAAAACTCTTGTTAGTGGATTCTATCATGTTTCATGATGTTTCCTTGCAGGGTAAGAGCGCCGCCAAATAACTAACACAAGTGACAACCTGAACTCAGTGACATCATTCACTCAAGATAACCAGACACTCCTAGATCCCATGACACCCACTGGACAAAATATAAGCAGAGACCAAGAACAACGCTCTGCACATCTGGAGAGATGTCACCTTGTTCTGCCCTGTGACTGGTGAGTCTCCCCCAGGATCCTGACCCTCAAATCAGGGACTTCTGTTAGAGATTGGACCTGACCTTCAGCTAAGATACATCACACAGGTGAGCAGGCAGCCTTGGGAGATAGACTTGGGAGCATAGTTAGGAATTTAGAGTGTGACTCTTGTGTAATAACCTTCAGCATAATAAAATACAGCTTTTGTTATATTAACTATGTCAAGTATCTACCTTCTTGCTCAAGACAGGTGTTTTCAAGACAGAGTTTCTCTATGTAGTCCTGGCTGTCCTGGAACTCACTCTGTAGACCAGGCGAACCTCCAACTCAGAGATCCACCTGCTTCTGCTTCCAGAGTGCTGGAAAGGTGTGCGCCACCACTGCCCAGCTTTTCTTTTTCTTTTTCTGTTTTTTGATGCTCTGCATTCTATTGCAACTTCTACAACAGCAATTGAAACTTGCTGATGTTTTCAAATGTTTTGAGCACTTTAAGATTCAATAACTCTTTCTTAATCTTTCCTTGAAAGCAGACGGTATAATTATTGTTGATTCAACCTTTTGATCCCGTTGTTGAGCCTTGTAACTGATCAGTAACACTTTATGTCTTTTAAAAAGGCATCTAGACATGGGTCTATTGTACTGTGTGCCTGCTATTTCAAATGACCCTTGATGCAGCGAGAGGTTTGAGTTCAGCTCACAGCACATCGGTGCTCATCCATGCAGAAAAATGTATGAGTGGAGACAAAATGAGAAGCAAGGGCCTGTTTCTCTGCTTTCACTTGGGCACCCCTGACCTTCCTCTTAGGACTCACAGACAGCATGTGAAGTAGAGATTTCTCAGACATTTTTAGGCCACAACAAAACAGCTATTTCATACAGGACTCAAGCTCCATTGTCCCTGAGAGACAAGTCACTTGGCTTTTGTGAGTCTGCAGAAAGTGAGGTTTATTTGTTTGTCTTTGCTTTGTTGACAGTGAAGCCATGTGGCAGGACTTGTTTAAAAAGGTAGTGGTGTCGAACGGACTAGCCAGGAAGCAAATTGAAATGGCCAGAGCGTTAGAGTTCAATAGAGCGTGGGCTGAAGCTGAGACATTGAGTAAACGAATACCTGAGAGCAAAGAGCCTAGAATGTGGCAGTGGAGAAATGTTAACAGACAGAGGGAGATCAGAGGGAAGAGCTGGGGAGGGGAGGGAGGTGATCCTGTTGATGAAATGCCTGGAGGGGTGGGGGAAGGGCAGGGAAGTCAAGACAATGAATTGGGAGGAGACAAGGAAAGGGCATGGGTCAGCCATGTTCATTCGAGAGAACTAACGTAAAGCTTGAGGAAGCCACTGAGTTCGTCCATTAGGAGAGAATTACCAGCCAACTTTGGGGGCACTGGTTAGTAGAGGTCTAGACACAGAAAAGAGACAAAGAGTTCAGCAAGGAATGGTTGTTAACGGAAGAGTAGAGCCCATTGGAGGAGCGTTGCTAGCAATGTGCTTTTAAAGACTGATGAAGAAAAGGATAAAAATAAGAAAGCTGATGAGAGACCAGAATCATTTATTTAGTGTGCTGTGTGGGACTCCAAGCAATTGGACACAATCCTGGACAAATCATTATATAAGCGATATAAGCTCTGAATTCAAATGATGGCAGCTGGTTAGTTGTTATTTATTTGTCAACTTGAAACAAACTAGAGTCACCTGGGAGGAGGGAACGGTCCCTGGACAATTGTTTTCACCAGATTGGCCTGTGGGCATGTCTGTGGGGCATCTTCTTGTACCACGATTGATGTATGAGGGCCTGGCCCACTGTGGACGGTGCCACGTATGGGCAAGTGGTCCTGGCTGGGATGAGAAAGCAGGCTGAGGAAGCCGTGGAGAGCAAGCCAGTGAACGATGTTCCTCTGTGGTCTTTGCTTCAGTTCCTGCTTCCAGGTTCCTTCCATGAGTTCCTGTCTGACTTCCCTCAGTGTATAAAATGTAAACCAGTAAACCTTTCCTCCTCCAGCTGTGTTTTGGTTAATGTTTTATCCCAACAACAGAGAAACAAACTGATACCAAACCAAGAATCCCAAACAGCTAAATGTTGGACAAACACTATTCAGGAAGAGCGTGACAAAGGCTGGTCTAAGATGGTTGCTGATATCAAGGAGAGCACGATGACAGAATGCATTGAGGTAGGGGGCAAAGGAAAAGGAGAAGCTTGGACAGGAGGCTGTGGAGAGGTGTAGGACAATAGGGAAGAGCCTAGAATAGGGGGAGGATCCCAGGATGCAGAGTGGGAGCTGGTTGCATGGCCAATCACAGGATAGGGATAACAGCAGGGATAACGGCAGGTCATCTTTTTCTCTATTTGAGGTCCTTTATTCCAGGGTCAATTATGTGGAAGCAAAAACACAGCCCTCATCTCAAAGAGGACAAAAGATAGTTTATTCTGGATCCAAATATGAGTGACCCTGACCTGGGAACACAGATTTAGGTCACCCCAAATTCCATGTTCAAATGTAGACATAGTTTCATAAAGCTTTTATAGTAAGAGAACATCAAGGCACTTTTCAAATGCATTGGTAGAAACATTAAGTGGGTTACAGGAAAGTGAAGAATCTCAGCTCCAGGCTTCAGATGCTATCTGATGAAACCTTTGGCCTTTTGGTTGGTGGAAATGATGGTTTTTGATAAGTTGATGCATTTCAAGAGATTCCATCTCTTAGTCACAGGGTGTTAGGTCAGACATGGAGGCAAGGAATGGTGCTGGATAGGGTACAGGTAACCCAAGATAAATTGTAGCTGCGCTCTGAACTTGTAATTCTTCTCAGCCTTTGAAGTTCTAATTAATCAGCTTTGCAATAGGCTCCGTAAAGTATGTAGTTTCTTTCCTGGAACTTTGGTTTATAATTAAAGAGGTAGATTGTGGGTCTGCCTGGCTGGGAGCAGCCATCACAAGTGGGAGGAAAATGGAAGACTTCACGAGTCCTGCTTCATGCCACATTAACTGATGCAAGCCAGTAATCATTAAATCTGAGGTCTATTTCATTCTACTGGAGAGCCTGAAGTGCATGTTTCCTGGGGACCAATTCTCAGACCTGCCCTTTTTAGGGGTGTGCCTTGTTTTAGGCAGCAGATGCACTCAAGAGCATCATGGTTAATTCATATTTAAAAAACCCACATAATCAGCTAACCAGAGCTGGTAGGGGCTCACAGAGACTGAAGTGGCAATCATGG